AACCATCACCCGCGCCTCCAGCTCGCTCATTCTCCATCGCATCTTTTCCTGCGCCTCTTTGGACGCCAGCAGCTCCAGCAGCAGGGAGTTCATGGCAGTCTCGAGGCCAGCGGCCATAGCCAACACCTTTCTCTCACTCTCCTGCTCCTGCTCCTGCATTCTTGTGAGCAGGCTGTCTTCCAGCTGCTTCGACGACACGATGGCGTTTTGAAGCTCTTCCTGCAACTTCATCTTCTCTTCCTCCTTCTCCTGCGTTGAGCTCAACCTCTCCTCGTACCTCTGCCGAGACTGATCAATGGCTTTCTCGATCTCCCGGTGGATGATGGAAGTTTGCGTCTCATACATCCCCTTCAGATCCTCCATGTGACTTCTTGCCAGGTCGTTCATTGCCGCCATCTCCTCCTCGTACTTATTCTTGGCCGTCGCAAAGTGAGAGGAGATCTGCTTCTGATAGATAGACTGCAAGATTTCGACTTGCGCTCTCTCAATCGATTCTTGAGAGAGTGCTTTGGGCTCGACCGGCCTCCTCGGTGTCCCTCGCTCCTCCCCTCCTCTCCTCGACCTCTCCAGCTCCTCCTGCTTCCTCGACCTCTCTTTCTCCTCCTGTCTCCTCGTCCTCCCCACCTTCTCCTCCTCCTTCAAGCTCTCCTCCTCCCCTTCCTCCCCCCTCGACCTGTCCAGCTTCTCATCACCCTGCCTCTTCGATTTCGCATGCTCGGCATCGACATGCTTCCTGGATCTCAACCTGTCAGCCTCCTCGTCGGGGCTGACCGGAACGTCTCTCTTTCTCCTCTTTCCCTGACTCTCCTGCTTGTCGGATAGCCGCAGGAACTCGCGGACGACTCTCACTTCCGCCTCCGCGTGCGCCTTGGCTGTCGTCAGGTTCTCGACCTAGAAGTTGTAAGATAACAGGCGCGAGGCAATGTAAATTTGGGGGAGGGGAGCAGAGCTGTGGAAGAAGCGTTGAGAGAAAAGAAGGTGACGACGATGACGCTGACATTGATGCTGATGATCATGACGATGAGGAGGAGGCGAGTGCAAGGGAGGAAAGAGCAGTAGGGAGGAAGAGGAGTGAGGAGGGGAGAAAGGAAGAACAGGAAATGGAAAAGGAGGAGGAGAGCAAACAGGGCAGAGGAGACCTTTGCTTGCAGATCATGGACGAGGGAGACAAGAGATTCCCTCTCTTGAACAAGTTTGGAGGAGGAAGATTGATCTTGCTGCACCGAGCTGATCGCGCCGATCAAAGAGTTGAGGATGGTCTGACTTGTAGCTGAACTCTTGCTCTTTCCTAAGTTGGCGTTCTTTTCCATCTGAGCATCTCGACTCCGATGAGTGTCCTCCGAGTTGTAGCGAAAGGTGGAGAGGGGAGTCGAGAAGTAATCTTCTGATCTCGCGCTCTTCAAAGCGTCCAAGTCCGACAAGTCAAGCTGTTTGTTGAGATCGATGTTGTTGTCATAGTCGAGGTTCTCTCTCGATGGAAACGAAAGCTTCTTGCCCCATACCCCTGGCAAGGGGTCATTCATCGCATTGTAATGTCGTCACTGTCAAAACCTGTCGGAGATTTTGTGGTCGAAGGGACTTTTGACTGTTTGCCCGAGGACGGGAGGACAGAAGAATCATGCTGTAGAGTGAGGAGAATAAGACGTTTTCAACTCTAGCACATCAAAGGATTGAGAGGAAAGGTTGAAACAAACCTGCTCCGATCTTTCGCCTTCTTCTTGTCCAGCTTCAAACTCAATCTTCCTGAAGACTTGATATCTCGTACTATGAGTGAGTTCCTTCTCCGGCGAATTAGAATTCTTGTCTGGCTTCGAGTGTGTTTCTGTATCTTCTTGCTTTGACTGTTCAACGCTCTTCTCGACCATGCTGTCCACTCCCTGGACCTTCACGTAGGATGAGCCGATCGGGGGCAGCTTGTCGAGGTACAGAAGATCAGATTCATTTCCTTCTCCTTGTGAGTTCAAGTAGCTGCTAACAAGGCTGCAAACATCATCATCGTCACAATTGATCGGCGCTTTGTACATTACTGCTACAATCATCTCAATCTTCTCCATTCGGGTCATCATCATCATCATCATCATCATCATCATCATCATAACCACCTTCATCATCATAGGCAATACTATCTTCTCCACCGTATCCTTACCGCGACTTCTTTGCAGCAGCAATGGCAGGAGAGTCTTCAAGCAGTTCCAGCTCATGGCTGCTCGACGCCTCCTGTCTTGAATCCGAAGGGATGCGATGAGAGGAAAGATTGATCGATGACGAAGACTCATCCTACAAGACATTCAATAAGTTTGTTTGCAATGACAAGGCATGACGGAGACACAGACATCGATGCCGTTCACCTTCTCGTCCTTGTCCTTCGGCTCAGCATCAGGAAGAATCGTCGGAGCAACTCCTCCTCTTCCTCCCCACGTCGCTGGGGGAGATCCTGTGTCGCTTTTCCCTCCCACGAAGATACCGGTTCCGACACTGACGCAACGGGGAGTCAAGGACTGGAGGGAAGCGAAGAGGAAGGAAGGGTGGGGCCAAGCAGGGAGTTCGACAGATGAAAAGGGAAGAGGGGAGGAGAGCAAGGGGAGAGAAGTGACAGAAGAAGGGAGAAGGAAGAAGGAAGAGGAGAGGGATAAGAATTTGGAGGAGCGAGGGGGCAGACCGAAGGGGCGTGAAGCAAGTCTGGTCATCCAGGTGACCAAGAAAGCCAATGGACGCAGAGACTAGCCCTCCCGCTACTTCATCCTATTCCAGTCACACCCGTCAACTCTCGTCCCTCCTTGAGCTCCCCGCGTACCTTAGAGGCGTTGACGTCATCACAGTCAAACTTGGTGATCGGCTCTTTCATCACCATCAATCGAGGTGATACTATCGCTTTGTCCCCTGAAACTTCGTCAGCCCGCGGGTTGTGGATGCGAGCTTCTACTTTTACGAGTATGAGGAGAGTGAGATGCGGATCTCTTTCTTCTGAATTTGTCCTTGTTGTTTGTGGTAGCTTCTGTGTCCGTTGATTTGCTGCTGTTTGGCTGTACTCGATCTGTTGTTCGTAGGTGGGTGAGTTCCATACCGTTTCAGTCACAGTTGGAATCATTACCATTCGTCCCATCCTCAGTCTGTTCAGTTTCCTTGTCATGTGATAGAGCTTGTTTGATTTCAGCCTGAATCATTGCACTCTGTCAAACACTTGTGGCAGCTAAAGACTCAGGATTCTTACATCTTGGTTGCTGTCCTCTGTTTCTGTTTTCTCAGTCTCGTCTCTTTCCTCAGTTTCTGTTTTCTCACTCTCATTTTCCGGACCTTGTCTGGCACTTTTATGCTGTGCTCCCTCGTTAGTCTGGTCCTCTGCTGGAAGACCTTCTGGAATTTGTTGCTCGACAATTTCTTCTTCATTGTCTATTCCCCTTGAATCACCATTCGAGAGGGACAAGGCTTGCTTGCCTTCAAAATTGAATCAGAGAACAAATATCTCCCCCAAACGAAATACCATCATGACTTGGAGACAAGTGCACATCATAATCTTCCTTGCGATCAAAGGGAACAGGTGTCGTCAGACGAATGTAGTCCCTTGTCTTTACCCATCCTCCCAACAACACTTCTTGTGGGATCTCAAACCCGTAGAGAGACCAGTCAACATCGATCGGCTCCTTGTCCAACCACAAGCGGCTGAGAGTAGTCGGGCTCTGATCGCTCGAGACTTGAGATTCTACTCCGATGGAGGATGAAAGAGACTCGAGACCGTGGGTTCCTTGGTTCCCCTCACTTCCTCTGTCTGCCCGCCTGTCTGCACCTGGAAGAGTAAGGGAGTGACTTGGCGGGGGGGGAAGGTTGACACAGCACAGGGGAGAAGAAGGAGAGGGAAACAACGATACCACTCTCTTTCATCAGGCCTTGAGGAGCGGAATCAGCTCGGTTTGAATGTCTGCTCTCCTTCCCTCCTGTTGCGCATGGTAGGAATCGATCAGCAGACTGGAACGAGACTTGCAGGAAGCTACCTGCTACCAGACCAGAAGATGTAGCGTCTGCCTTCTTAGGGGTTTGAGGAGCCGCTGAGATCTCCTGGTCTTCTTGCTCCTCTGCAGAATTTTGATTGCTACGGTTATGAATCCTTGATAGGCGAGGTAGCCCCCGTTTCCCCTGTGAGCAACAACCTTCAGGAAACGCGCAACTCTGAGGAGTTCATATGATTACTGAGAGCGTCCTCTTGTCACTGTCTTGGTCCTGTATTGTTTTATCTTGTTTGGGCGGGGTTTGAGCTTCCCGCTCCATCATACCTTCAAATCCGTCCTGCCAGTTCTTGGATCAATCCAACCCCATGAATTCGCCCCTGAGCGGAAATTCCTATCAGCACACCAAACAAATCTGCGGGAATTTTCATCTAAGAATCGTCACGGCCAGTGACAGGACGGTGCGGCTCTCGCGAGCGAATGCACCCCCGCGAGTAAACACGCAAACATCAGGGAGAGGCAGCGACAATGGCACGTGGAGAGAAGGAGCAGTGGGGAGAGGTGCGAACAGATCAGACAAGCGAGCATGCCATCGCCTCACGAGCATGAGCCGCGCCAAGGGCCATGGAGCCCGTGACGTTGCTACATGCTGCATTGACCCGCCGAACTTGAAACTGGTGGGCGAAAAACTTGACTAGGACTCAAATTCTACCGTGAAATTTGAGATTCAAATTTGGTTGCAGTGATATTTTGAATCTATCAGTGAAGAAAATTCCAACTTTTAATACCTATCCCAATCTCGCAAGCTTAGCTGTTACCAAATCGGTACTTGGGTATTGTAGGTTTGAAATCAAACCCAAATATTTGAAAATTGATATCATACATCACCATCTGTTCTCAGTGGTTGGTCTCCTGCCGTCCTGGTTCGGATTTCACTTAACTTTGAGTAAAAAAGAGCCCCGGGCTCGGGATTTCCGAGTTCCGAGGCAGGCATAGTAGTGTATCTAAGATGATCAGCGAGGGGATGAGGGCACAGTTCCGGATTTAGGAGGTTGAAGAATGCTTGGACTGCTGCGAGACGCGTTGGCGGGGGAGGTGGAGAAGACAAGCAGGCCTGTTATGACAGAGCTGAAGCAGCTACCAACTGCCTGCTACAAGAAAGCAGACCAGCATGTCTCTCATTGCCATGGCGCGATGGCTGCTATGGGACTCACTATCGGCAAGAATGGTCAACTCGTCATCAGCAACAAGAAAGCGTGAGTGAAATGGTTCCCATTTGTTGGGATTGCCCTTGATTGTTTGTATTTTAGATTTGAGACCAGCAAAGAACCGCAGCAGGTTTGAGTCGAGGACTCTTACTTGATTCAGTGGGAAACCCAAAGATGGGGGATGCTCGATGGATGTTACACATTGTGATCGTTGAGGTGTTTGTGGGCAGCTGAGCATTTGACTTGTTATGGTATATCTTGTAATTATTTATGAAGCTTTTCTATTCACAGCAGAGAATTGTTCAACGTTTTGCACACTGTTTGATAATGCTGTGTTTCAAAAAAAATGTACCAGGTTTGAGTCGCTGATCGCCAAATGCAATATCGACACAGAAATATGGCACTTTTGTCAATTAGCAATGGGGATCTAAATAGACGTTTGCGGTTCTACACGCATATTTGTTTGAACAAGTAGAAATGTATACACGTCAACGTTGATCGGTGATTGAGCTGGTCGTAGCCACGTCCGTTACTTGAGGAGATGGCCCCTTGGAAGACAGAAAAAACTTTCGACTCTCAGCAGCAGACCATGATGATGTCCACTCACATGCATGAGCCCAGAAAGTCTTTGAACCTCCGCCGCCAACTCGCAAGGATCGTTGAGCCTGGACTCAAACTCGACTTGGCCTTAACTTGTAATTCAGTGGCACTGAGACTAATAAGTCGGGTTTGGTTCTCGCTGTCTTTTCACTTGTCGCCGTTTGGCCTGTGCGACAGTGTCAGGGTCAAGCCTCCTCGACTCTCCTGATTGTCCTCGTACTGATCTTTAACTTAACTTTGAGTAAAGTCGGTGGGCACAGCCAGGGTGTCGGCCGCTCTCTTGCCGCGCTCGGTGACCCGCGGACGGCGTCGGTGTCTGAGAGTCCCGGGCCCGGATTTGAGCCCGATCGGGGCCGACTCACCGGCACTGCGCCGGCCCGCGCGAGTCCGGCCGGGCCCCCGGGCCGCGGCGGCCCCCGCCCCCCGGGCCCGGGCCCCGGACGGCCGGGCCGGCGGTGCCCGCTGGGCCGAACTTCCGGTTGAAGTTCGGGGTGGATCATACCGTATCAGTACGAACTTCGGACTCGTCAGTGAATTGCCGCCACCCGGCCGGGCGGAGTGCGGCCGCCGCGCTTTGGTCAGTGACCCGGCCGGCGCTGACGGACGGCGCCCGCGAGTGTTTGGCACCAAAAATTGACTAAAATTTAAATTACATCAAGGAAGGATAGATCCTCCACATCATCATTTACCACCCCTTGTCATTGTTCTATCAAAATCTTTACTCTAATATTCAATCCATGTTTGTATCCTATGTTAAGTAAAAACCAATGAAGTACCCTCCTGAAAATTGGGTGAAGTTTTCACAAGCTTGCATGCGCCCTCTCCTCGGCGCGGGGATGCAGGGGCTGAAGTACCGGGAGTAGCCCCCAGAGCAGGAGGGCTGGTGCGTGAGAGGAGCTAAGTGACAGCGAGCAAGCGAGGAGTTGCGGTGCAAGAGGTCCAACAAGCACACCTGATACTCATACTCCCCCCTCCGTAATGGTACGACCGAACTCGAACTTGTACGAGATTTTGCGGAGGGAACGATCAGGGTTAAAGATGGTCAAGGCGTTTGGCTTCTATCTCATGCTTCTTACTCTCCTGACTATGGAGAAGGGTTGGCCTGTGGTGTCTGGCCATAGTCAGTATGACTCCGCTCCACGATTCAATCGCATGTACAACCTGCGGAGCGCCAGGGTTTTGAGATCTCAATGCGTTCAGAGAGAAGGCGATGCAGTGCATGACTATACCTACTTGAGCTCGAGAAAGCGACCTCACTATCCTTGTCTGCACCTTCGAGGAGGATCGGGCGATACCCATGAAAGCATGGACAATGCAGGCAATACACAGCTTCTGAAGCAGACATTCTCAAACTGGAAGGACCTTATGAAGTCCCTCATGTCTTCTGAGAATGAGATCCGCAAAGAGGCCGAGAAGAAGTACGAAGAGATCAAGACTGAAATGCCTGATGCCACATGCACGGCTCTGATACAAGAGATCGCTCAGGGTGAGAGTGAAGAGTCAAAGACTATGGCCGCCGTTCTGGCGAGATCAACTCTATCGGAAGTTTGGGAGAAACTCTCTACAAGTACGAAGGAAGATTTACAATCACGATTGCTGGATGCTCTCAAAGCAGAGTCCTCTGCCCCCTTTTTAAGGAAGGTCGCCAACGTTGTCGGCGCGATATCCTTCGCTGCCAACGATGGCAAGTGGCCGCAACTTCTTCCTACCCTGTATGAGATGTGCAAGCACGAGGACTCGAACAAGAAGGAGCTTGGCTTCTACATGCTCTCCCTTGTCCTCGGCCATGCCGGCAGCGACCTGATGAAGTTCGACGAGGAGCTCCATCCTCTGTTTGAGAACGCGTTGCAAGACCGCAGCTGTGGCGTGCAGGTGTCAGGGTTGAAGGCCATCTCCTCCTTTCTCTCCTCTTGCTCTACCAACAAGCAGATGAAGCCTGCTCAGGCGCTGCTGTCAAGGATGCTGGCAGCTATCGGGTCAGCCGTGCAAGGGGACGAGTACAATGCGCGTGCTGGCCTGGACGTATTGATTGAGATCGTTCAAGTCAATCCTCGCTTCTTCAAACCGCAGCTGAAGGTTTCTTATCGTCTTGCTCGCTACACATCTCACACATGCCATGCAGGAGATCTCCTCAGCCATGCTTCAGCACATCACCATGAACAGGAACCTCGAGCCGGCTACTCGTCGTCTCGCCCTCGAGTTCCTTGTCGAGCTCGCGGAGAAGGCGCCAGCCATGATCAAGTCTTCGGAGAACCTGCTCAAGGACATCGTAGCTGTGTCGCTCGTCCTCATCGTCGAGGGGCTGGACACAAAGATCGACCTCGAACGATGGAACCGGTGACGTCACACCCTACCTGTTGCTCGCTCTCGCTGACTAGGGCCGCAGGTGGGAGGACGAGGACGATGTGGATGAGGAGCTGCAGGGCTTCTTCGAGCAGGGTCTTGAGGCCCTCGACAGACTGGCGGTGGCGATAGGAGGGGCAAAGATGCTGCCAGCTGCATTCTCCTTCATCCCGGACTTCATCGCAGACAAGGACTGGAGGTACCGGATGTGTGCGCTCTACTGCATCTCGCAGATCGGGGAAGGAAGCTACAAGGTGATGAAGAAACACCTGGCGGGAGTCGTCGGGCTTATAACTCCTCTGCTTCGCGACGACTTCGTGCGGGTCCGATGGGTCGCCATCAACTGCATTGGGCAGCTGAGCACGGACCTCGGCCCCGCCATCCAGAAGCAGTTCCATGACACGATCCTCCCGGCCCTCATCAGCGCTATGGACACCACACAAGAGCCGAGCATGAGAGTCAGCGTGCATGCTGCTGCTGCTACCATCAACTTCTGCGAGCATGCGTCGGAGGAGCTCCTGACTCCCTACCTCCCTCACCTGCTCCAAAGACTGGCGCATCTCCTGCAGCAACCGCACAAGCAGGCCAACGAGCAGGCCATCACGACGGTGGCGGCGATCGCGATCGCTGTCGGGGAGCACTTTATCCCGTACTACCAGGAGTTCATGCCATTCCTCAAGTCACTGCTGGCCAAGTCAGCCGGGGACGCGAGCATGGCGAAGATCCGAGGCAAGGCGATGGAGTGTATCAGCCTGATCGGGGTGGCGGTCGGGGCCGAGAAGTTCAGAGAGGACGCCAAGGAGACGATGCAGCTCATCTTCAGCATGCAGGAGCAGGAGCTCCCCCCCGACGACCCTCAGCTCTCCTACCTCCATCAGGCCTGCGGCAGAATCTGCCGGGTACTGAAGAGCGAGTTTGTGCCTTACCTGCCGGCGATCCTTCCCTCCCTCCTTCGGTCGGTGGCGATCAAGCCGGACGTGAGAGTAGAGGACGGGGACACCGCAGACAACGATGATATGGAGGGAATGGAAGTTGTGCAGGTAGCTCAGAATCCCTTTTCCTTGTCCTCCTGATCCACCTCTCGCTCTTGCTCCTCCCTCTTCTGCTCTCCTTCTCCTGCTCTCCCTGCTCTTCCTGCTGGCTCTTAGTTGGCTGCCTTGTCTCATTGCCACTCAGGTCGGCGACAGTCTGATCAGCATCAAGACTTCCGCGCTGGAGGAGAAGGCCAACGCATGTCAGATGCTCGTGACCTACCTCGAGCAGCTGGAGGACGGCTTCTTCCCCTACCTCGAGCAGGTGGGCAGGGAGATGAAGCCTCTCCTCACCTTCTGGTACCACGACGATGTGCGATCCTCTGCCATCCAGAGCATGCCAGCGATGGTGCAGGCGGCCGTGAGCTACCAGGAGAAGCAGCAGGCCGATCGCAGCATCGTCACGCAGGTCCTCGGCTTCGCCTTCCCAGCTCTGCTGCAGTCGCTGCTGGTGGAGCCCGAAGTGCCTCTTCAAGCTCAGACGTGCAGGGCCATCGCCCAGTGCGTCAAGTCCTGTGGAAGGAACTGCCTCTATGCCGACCAGCTGGCTGAGGTGGCCAAGGCGCTGAAGCAGGTAGGGCATCGAAGGGGAGAGGATGAGGGGAGGAAGAGCGAAGAGAAAGGGAGAAGGAAGCAAGAGCGAGGAGGGGGAGGGGAGAACGATTAGAATAAGAGGTTGATTTTGTTTTCAGCTACTCGAAGACTCCAACGAGAGGATGGAGACTCTGCAAGGCGACAAATCGGAGGACGAGGAGGACGAAGACGAGGATCAGGAGGAACGGGAGGCGATAGCTGCAGAGACAGAAATGATCGACGAGGTTATCATAACTCCTCCTGCTCTTTCCCCTAACAGCGCGAAAAGTCTACGGCCCCCCTCCTCTGTCCTTGCTCCTCCTCGCTTCCGTTGACTTCCATCTGCTGTTCCTCCTGCCCCTCCCCTTTCTCACCTTCCTGGCTCAGTTTCCCTTCCCTCTCCTCTCGAGTCTCTTCCTCCGTCTCGCTCACTTGGGGTTCGCAGGTCATCTACTTGGTCGGCAAGCTGATAGAGACGCACGACAACGGTTTCTTCCCCTACCTCGAGGAGCTCCTCCCCTGGTTCCTTGACAAGCTTGGCGATCATTCCCACATCGCCTTCAAGGTCCTCCCCTCTTCCTCCCGTTTCTCCCTCCCCCCCCTCCCCCCTCCCTTCCTCCCCTCCTCTCCTCTTGTTCTCTCAATCCTGCTCTCCTCGCGCTTGCCTCACTCCCCTCGCAGCGGCTGGGCATGGCGATGATCGACGACGTTGCCGAGCTCGCGGGCTCCTTCGCTGAGCGATACGTGGCAACTTTCATGCCGCTGATGCTTCGACACGCCTCCTCGCTCGACGACGAGCTCCGTCAAGCAGCTCTCTACGGCATCGGAGTCTGCGCCCTTAACGGCGGCCCAAGTTTCAGCCCCTACACCGCCAAGGCCGTCATGACGCTGCTGCACGTCGCTAGAGAGGAAGGGGCGCGTTCCAAGGACAAGGAGAGCGCGACAGACAATGCGGTTGCCTCCTTGGGAAAGATTGGTCAGCACCAGGTGCTTTCAAGTCCTTGTAGTGGACCACTCCTTCCCCTCCTTCTCGTCTCTCTTCATCTCATTCCTCTTGTTCATTCTTTCTTGTGCCTTTCACCTTGTCTACCTCCCACCTCTACTTCCTCTCGCTTTCATTTCTGTTTTTTGTGGTTCCATTGCTGCTCTGACTTTCCTCACCTTTCTTTCTCGATCATCTCAACCTTGGATCTCCAAACTCTCTCCTCCTCCTCCTCCTCCTCCTCCTCCTTCTGAGAGAATCTGTTCGCATGCAGGAACACGATCCTCTACCCGTGC